CAGTTCAAAATTATACGTGAGCAAGCGCAGATAGGCATCGATCGGGGAAGAGTTGGCGGTGGGTGCTGTCCTCTTTGTCTGTCAGTTCAAAATTATACGTGAGCAAGCGCAGATAGGCATCGATCGGGGAAGAGTTGGCGGTGGGTGCTGTCCCTTTTGTCTGTCAGTTCAAAATTATACGTGAGCAAGCGCAGATAGGCACTTCGTGTAGCTTTATGCAAAATTCTTGAAAACAAGCAAACAAAAATCTTTAGTTGTGCTCATCGGTATAAATTTTGGGGCTGACGTACCTGCGGGATCAGATCCAAATCGCCCATGTCAATCCTTGGGGGGGGGTACTAAGGACACAGACCAGGAGTTTGGTAACAGTCAGTTCAGGTGTTTGCCTATTAAAGTGGGGACACACACACACAGATTTTTTGTTATATAATTTAATTTGTTACCGTCTTTCTAATTATTAACTGCTGTCATATATTTTCTCTCATTTACTTATTTATTTATTTTTTTTACAGAGTGTCGTCCTTGTACAGAAGAAGAAATGCTTAGGTTTTACTGCACAAGTATTTTTGGTAAGTTTTAAGAAGACGTTTTTGATTAAGAGCAGTGGTAAAAATTTAAGGTTGAACTAAACAACCATAATGAATTTACACCCACGATGAATTGGTTTCGCGCTTGGAGAGACGAATGTAGTGAGTGTTAGCACTTAACTGTAATAGTTTGAAACTAACGTTTAAAATACACTGTATAATCGGTTTGATTCAGCATAGTTTCACGCTGTATATTTCGATAATGGGGTAGAGCAAGATTAGGAGGAGGGTGGGGAGGGTTCTTCATCACTGTTCGGTGTGTTCTGTATATGCGTGCTTAATGTTAAGTGGTTTTTAAATACACCTATATCTGACTAAGCATGGCTACACTATCAATATTTTAGTGTTTTCTACTACCCCTCAAATTTACCGATGTATTTTTATACCATTCACTACCGGTAGGGTCCACTTATTACAGAGTAATGATAATATGTTTTGGTTTTGCTTGTTAAAACACCTCCTGTAAAAAACGAACAGGATGAAGTCACTCAGTTACTCATTTTTAGCCGCGGCATAGTAGCTCATAGAATGGCTTCGAGTTTTTTTCCAAGTACAAACGTTTAGCTCATAGCTCAATCTCTTGATCAATTTCAGATCTAATTACAGCAGCGGCTATTGAAGATTCTCTCTTGTTCTGTGTAAAATACATTGAAAATTCCAACAGTAATTAGTGGGATGAATTGAAGTGTTGATGTGTCATATGATGCCTGTCATATATTTTATTAGGGACAGTGTAAATAACACTTGACTGTTGTTCATTTAGAAAGAAATTTGGTTGAAAAATAGTGTAGAAAAATGTGCTTGTAAAGCCAATGGGATGAACCTCATCGATAATTCTAGGGTTAAACTGGTAAAACAAACTTTGGAATTTTGGCACGAGATGCCGAAAACAGGTTTAGTTGAATAATACGTATTTTTGTACACACCAAAAACCTGTTCGCCTACATATTTATACAGAGATATTATAATAGACGGTAGTCCCTGTATGAAGACGAAATGGTGTAGTTACCATGCGTTGAATGTTCGTGTTCCCGGTCTTATTGAAATTAAATACCAATGAAATGTTCAAACCTATACGCATTCCTCAAACTCGTTAATGCAATGTTCTGATTCGTTTTTTCGTGTTGTAAGTTAATAAGCTAAAAAAGTTTAGGAGATTGATTTAAAATTTCAGAACACGTGATTGAAAGTGACAGAATACACATGGTTTAAAGTGACTAACATACAGAATACACATGGTTTAAAGTGACTAACATACAGAATACACATGGTTTAAAGTGACTAACATACAGAATACACATGGTTGATTAAGAACTAGCTTATCGAATTGTTTTTTTTTCTATCAGTGCTCTAGATTTTTATAGAGAGTAACCCTGCTGACTGTTTTTACAAATGTGCATAAGATAGAGCAAACAAATATATTCATTTACAAGAAATTGCTAGTAGTTTTTGTGTAAAATTCAAGCTATTTTTAGGGAATAGGTGATAGCTATATCACACACACACACACAAAGAGTTATTGCTGCTCTAGCTATACTGGTAGTCCGAGATTACTTAAATCATAAAGCAGTTTACAAAGAAACATTTACCCTTGTGCTTTTATTAAGTAACTGAATCCAACGTAGGCTTTAAATAATCGGTTGTAAATTTAGTTTATTATCGGAATAGTAGTTTATTATTTGGTGGAATTATCGGATAGAGGATTAGTTAATGATCGGATGAAAGATTAATCTGATATATGGTTGGCTAACTACCTGGTGGAATATTAGTTAATAATCAAATGTAAGATTAGTTAATCTGG